TTTTGGTCTTTACGACCAGACCACCTCAGGAATTCTGACTTGGATTGAACACTGCTCCCTCTGGAACTTAGTATTATAGGAGTCAGCAAGAACCATTCATTCTTAGCAATGAAAGGGGATTCTTCCCTCCTCTCCTGTTGCCAATCCTGGTCTAATTCACTCTTGTCATGCTAGAATAGTTTTTGTTCAAGAAATGAGTAACTCATTAACATTAGCGATGGACACGAATGGAAAGAATTACCTTAACCCTGACGATACAGGACTACATTTTTCTCTGTTTTATGCAGTTTTTTTTTTTTAAATGGTCTAAGCAACAAGTACTCCTCCACTTCCTTTGCTGGGGCTGCACCATGCGTGTTCACCCAGTACTGTTCCTTATTACGCCGAAGTACATCTTTGCCCTCTTCAGATACTTGTATATAGCAAGGTTTCTCCCCTCATTCCATTTAGTAATATAGCTAAGCTAGACTGTGTTCTTTTACGTCAGTCCGTCACTTCTTCCATCCCTTTAATCATTTGTGTTTTACTTCAATTTTCACTAGTTTGCCAACATTTTTCTGGTATTGAGGTGCCTTGAATTAGTTCTGCTGAATACTGCAGCTGGAGATTGGCTATGATAGTCCTGCTCTGCCTTACACGCTCTTGCAACTCCAGTTGGAAGAATCACTCAGCTTCATTAAATCTCCTCTTTCCAATCCTAAAACAATGTTTAGCTGGGTGTATTAATGTATGTTCTTAGGGTAGACTTTAGTATTACATTAATTAATTCAGTAGTTATTTGATAGTAGCTATAGTGCACACAAAGCTTCCAGTTTGGATGGGATCCAAAGCCCATTGGAGTCTTTCTATTAAGTTCAATGAGCTTTGTAGGACCTAATCCTGCACACTCTGGCAACTAGTCCTCACTGAAGTTGATGGAGTTGCTTGCATGAGTAAAGACTACTCATAGGAGTAGCAGTTAAGACCTACATCGTTTTCAAAAAGGATTAATAAATTAAACATCATTAGAAAGTGTTTTATTCATATCTTACAAAACAAGCTCCACAACATGAACTACACTAGATATAATCAAGTTATTTCAGAATTAAACTGTGTTTTCTAAAAACAGCATCACTACATGATAAAACTTGTTTTACAACTAACTCAAGTCTCATCTTTTGCATACAAAATATGCTCTTTACATTGAAATACACATTATTAACAAAGCAGGAACTAGAAGCACATACGCTAAGATTGCTCAGTGAAAAATGCCTCAGCAGGGAATTGTTTTTTCTGCAACAGAACATCTGTTGGCTATGTATTTTCACAGAAACTTAAACTGATGGGAAACTTGCCAGTGACATTCCCTTTGTCAAGGAAAAAAAATCCATAACAAAAGCATGTCCAATGTAGTTCAGATTCTGCTATGAAACAATGTCAGAACATGTCTTTTCCAGAACAGAGAGCTGTATGTTAAAATACAAATACAATTTTATGCAAAAAAGTCATCTGAAGCAAAACATTGCATTTGCAAAAATCAAATTATTCCATTAGTTGCTTCACAGTTTATTTTAAATATTAACTGAGATCATTCATCTCCTGCCAACATCTTCAATCCAATATTTGACTGATCGCTGAACAGAAAATCCTCAGAATCAGACATCTGTATTAAGAGTACGATAAATAGTGCATGTTAAAAATTGTCCAACGGATCTATAAAATATTCTATAGCAATAAAAACAAAGTAACACAAAGCTAATGTTTTCCAAATATAGAACTTAAGCTGTGGAAAAGTTTCAACTCATATCCTGAACTGTCCTTGTTAATACAAGTTAAAAGCTAAACAGCTCCTTATAAAATGTTATAAGGATTTGTTTTTGAAGTTAGTGCAGATTAGCACATTTAGAACTCACTATGAAACAATTTTACTAATCTAGGGCCTGATCCTACAAATCCTTACTGACAAGTATTTCCTATTGACTTTGTAAGAACAAGGCCTACTTGTGAGAATAAAGGTTTGCAGGATCACAACCATAAACAGCTTTGCAATACTAATTGTGCTCTTTATTTTAAATTCTAGTAAATATTACAATATATACAATTTTAGTACAAAATTATGAAAAACTACAATTTTAATAAAACTGAAAATGCACCTTCCAAACATACTTAGTAGTCAGAAGGAAATAAGTGTAATCAAATAACTGTTTGGCACAACAGAAAACACAGTAATATGCTCTTTATTGTTAAGCAACCTAAGGTCCCAATCCTGAAATTGTGTCTGCCTGGAGCACCAGTGAAGTTAATGGGGTCCACCCCACAGACCCTGTTGTAGGAGCAGGGCTTGAATGCCAAATCCTGCTGAGTATTTCCATTGCAGTCAATGGGGCTACTTGCATGAGACAAGCAGTATCTGGCTATAACGGTTATACATTTTTAAGAGTTAAAGCTTGAATTCTCTTCTTTTTAATTTCCTTGGGTACTTTGCTGAAGAGTAAACAATTTACCATTATCCAATAGCACCAAAATATGCTATGCAGGGTCCACAAGTTTTCAAAATTTTATACTACCTTTTATTAATCCCCCACTATTTATTGTCATGTGGGCCATCTCCCATCTTCCAATGAAGGCCCCCTTTGCGATTGGGCTAGGCAGGCTTCCTCTTATTTCTAGCTACTTCTGTGGGTGTCCTGGCTCTTCATTGTGGCCCATGGACCAGGTTGGGAACCATTTTGCTAGAATTCCAAGGCATGTTTTCTATATACGTGTTGATTCAAGTACTGAATGGTTACAAGGACTACCAATGCAAACTCTAGGCCTAAGCATCAGAACAAGAATAGTGAAGGGAAGGATAAAAAAACCTCTAAAAATTCTGTAGGATTTGGAGTGATCATTTTGCCACTGACTTCAAAGGGAGTGGGCTCACACACCAGTTGTTTGTATATTTTCGATCAGCAGGTGGTTGTGATGTGCAACTTCTACTACCCAATATTCAGCCTAATGTATGACAAGTGCTACTACAATTCCAACTGAGAATATCTGGTTAAAAACTAAACAGATTTAATGGCTTCCCCAAAGTTCCGAAAGCCTCAAGAAAAACAACTAGTTTAGGTTATTTGGTATAGCATAGTATCAAATGTTTTCCTTTGTGGAAACAACTACTAGCTTTTCTAAAAGTCTTTAACAGTAACAATTGCATTTTGGTTTAAATACAATTCTCATGCTTCAGTTTGTTAGATTGAACCATAAAGTATGCAGATATCTGACCAAATGACCTATTCAGAATGTATTTTTTCCACACACTACTTTTTGTACAAAAAACTCAGTTTACACAACCTGTACAAGAGCAACAATCAACCAGATTAAATGCTGAATGAATTGTAGTGCAATCCTCAAAATGAAAATAGATATTCAAGTGTATGATTTCAGACGTCTAGGTCTCAGTTTATGCACAAGTATAGTGTAAGTGTAGAATTCTTCTGTTTGCGAAGTGTAAGTTTAAAAAAAGCAATTCTAATAAAAGACTAGTTAATTTTATTACATTAAAATGTATAGTAGCTAAACAAATACATTCTCCAAATATTCTTGAGTTTATTTATGCAGAAAGTTATCAAGGGCCTTATATAAAAGCCCACTGAAGTCAATAGATTTGGATCAAGCCTATAGCCACAAAGTTTCATCTCTGATATTAACTAGTGGCAGGGGGTGAATTATATGGCCTAATAGACTTTTTCTATCTCTAACTTCTGCAATCATAAATACTATACTCAATCAGCCACTGCAAGTTACATACAATAGCCAATGAGTTGTGTAGGTAAGGATGAAAAATAGTCTCATGCTAGACAAATTTGTAGAGCCATGCACTCAAGTTCCAAATTTCTGATTAAATAATGGAGTGAAAGAAACACTCCCACAACTCTTCTTTCTCCAAAGGCCTGATCCAAAGCCCACTGAAGTAAACAAAAGTCTTTCAGTTGACTTCAATAGATTTTTGGATCTTGCTCCAGGACAACAGAAGTTTTTGGATAGACCCCTACATCTGACATTCAGATGAATCCCCCAAAATGTTAAGGAAGTAAATTTTGTACCTATTTCCCACAAAACATTCACTCTTATCTTGTATGTCCATGTTCGCTTGTGTAGTAAAAAAAACAAAACAAAACTAGTCTTGCAACAAGTAGTACAAAATGAAATAAAGTCAAAGTGAATTGCAAAATACAGAGAAAGTTAAGTTATTCACTTTTCTGAAACATGACAAATTCAGGTGTTGTAATACCTAGCACTATCATGGAACTTTGCTAGGATGTTTTATTCAGGTTTTTATTAAAGTGCCCATCCATTAGCCTAGGTGCTTTTACAATGATCAAGATTTAAAATATAAAAAATAGTTAACTCATACAGTGGACGGCATGCACATCTTCAGAGAGTATTTGCCAGTCACAGTATTAATCACAGTTCCACATTGTAGCCACCAATATTCCTCTGCCTATCTTCCCCCACAAACAGTGGAGAAAAAAAAAGATGGCCTTTCAAACAGGTCCAGAAGGTTAAAAAACCCAGGCTCTAGTAGACCAGGAACAAAGACAATTCCACGTTAGCTGCAGTTTATATAGACTAGAATGTGTAACTTTCAAACATATAGGCAACCTAGCAAGACAGTTAAAATACATTTTTTCTTTTTAAAAAAGTAATTAAAATATGGCCTCTAGTTTTCAATTTATGTATTTAATAACCTTTAAGTGGGAATGTCTTGATAGTTTTTAAAATGAAAACTGTCCTCATGCAAAGTTGTCTATTTTCTATTTCTCATTTAACATCTTTTACCAAAGTCTCATTCATTGTGTGTGTGTGTGTGTGTGTGTGTGTGTGTGTGTGTGTGTGT